AAGTGTAAGGTAATGAGGTTAGAGAGGGATTAGAGCCACATGTGTAGAGTCTTGTAGGCCCTTTGGAGGCTTTTGGAATTTATTTGCATTAGATGGGAGCCCTTGAAGGCTTCTCAGGGCAAGAAGGCAGCCTCTCTTAACAGGATCCTTCTGGCTGCTTGATAGAAGGCGAGGGTGGAAGCAGGGAAACCAGTTAGAAGGCTGTTATAATCCAGGCAGGATTATCCTACCACCTAACACTGTGCCTCGCACAGAGTAGGTCCTAACTAAACATTGGTAAAGGAAGACATAAGTGGCCAGCTTCTCTGGACCACCTAGGAGGGTCCCCCAGTCTGTTGCAGAGGCTCTGGCCCCAGCACACAAGGCATCTCTGCACACCTCACAATTTCCTTTCTCCCCACCTTCCGTGAAAGTTCTCCCATCTGGTCAGTGCCTCGTTCTGCTTCTGGCTGCTTCTACTTCTGCCGCCTCCTCAGCTACTTGATCATTCCCAAAACCCTCTCAGCTGTTCACGTTGGATTTGGGAATCCTCAGAGGAAAACAGCCATCTGGGTCTTTCCGGACAGGCCTGGGCAAGGCCCCAGAAGTTTTTCCGAAGTCACGGTGTGTAGGGCCGGGAGTCATGGGTCACCCTGAGACCTGCTCCACTCTGCAGATCTGTGATGTTTCTGACCACTTAGGACATTAGACGTTTCCAGAGTTGCCGTCCTGGGCTGGGAAGAAGGTCTGTGAGAAGACGCAGGACGAAGAGAAGGAGCAGGATGGCTCCTTGCAATGCACTGGTGGGACGAGACGTGTGACCATGGGACGGACAGAACGTAGGTCACCTACTGCCACACTGATTCACCAGATCCCCTCTCAGTTCAGCCACTTTGAATCTTTTACCAAGAAGGAAAAAAAATGGCACAGTCCCTTGTGTCATTTTTAATTGATTTCTTCGGCATCCGGAGAGAGGCTGGCCCAAGGCCAGGGGAAGTCGGAGCCGAGGGAATTCATCAAAAATCGACCTACTGATGACTTGATCTGATGAAATAATTAGCTCCTGTTATTCTCCAGTGTCTGGTTACAGAGCTTTGACTTCCACCCGGAGGAGCAGCACCCTGGCTGGTGGGTATAGCCGCCCAGGGTGGGGTGGGGAGTGCTTAGAAGACCAGTGTGGGTGCCAGGAACAGAATCCGGCTGACCATGCGCCCCAGCTCCACCCACCATCTGGCCCAGGGCTCCAGATCCAGGCTGCAACTCTCAGCTCCCCTGGCCTGCCACATCACAGGCCAGGACCAAAAAGGCACTCGAAGGGCACCTGGCTGCCTGCTGCATCATTTGGCAAACAAGGAAACCGAGGCTGGGAGGCTCTTAGGAGCTTGCCTGGAAATCTGCTTCTAGGAGGTCCTGGTTGAGCAGGCTGACTGGGGCCAGACTCGGTTTGAACCCCGCCTCTGCCAGTTATTGAGCCATATGATCATGAGAAAGTGTTTTTAACTCTCTGGGCCTCAGCTACCTCATCCATAAAGTGGGTATAATATTGATGGGTGGATATGCGGATTAAACGACTTGTGTGTGAAATGCTTAGCGCAGGGGCTGGAGCATGGCAAGCTCGATAAGCATTTGCTGTTGTTATTTCTAGTGTAAGAGAGTTGCTGGTTGTAGGGCGTTCCTTGGAAATGCTCTCATTATTTTATCAACATCTATCGAAGGAACACGAACGTGCATTTTAGTGGGCTGGTTGGCGTGTCAGTTCGAGTGCAAAGCGCAGAGCATCCTGGTATGTTTCTCAAGGGGGTATGTGGACCAATAATCTGGAGTAATTCAGGGACCCATTAGATGGCCAGAGCACGTTGTCTTTTCACCTCTCTGAAGCCTCCCATTACCTCCAGCAGAGATAGTGCTAAAATGCTTTGACTCCTTTAACACCTGCTAATCTCCCTTCAAAAGAGAGTGCAAGTTCAAGAACAGGCCAGTACAGCAGGCTGAGTTTAGAGCCTTCAGCGTGCGCTAGACGCTGTTTGACTAAGTAACACGGTGCCTGTTTTTTTTGACTTTATCTATGGGTCTACAGGGACGGTTTGCTGATTTTCCATTTACCCTTGGATATAAAGTTTTCTTTTTCACACTCCATATTAACTTGTTAATCCCTTACACTCATCTGATGGATGAGGCAACTGAGGCACAGAGCTGTTAAGTTACTTGCTCAGGGTCACCCAGCAAGTACTTCCAGAGTCTGTGTCTTAACCATCACATGATGGGGGCACAAAGCAGGTGCCCGACACACAGCAGGTGAGGGACTCTGGCTGCCGAGAGATGTGTTTGAGCGGATGAGGGGATGGAGATGAAGTCAGTGCTTGCTCCCCAGTGAAACTCAGGGTTCCCAGTCAGCTCCCCTGATAATGTGACTCTCTCTGCACAGATGGCCTGTCTGAATCCCTGCATGGAGCCTGCTCCTGCTCCCAGCCTCCCTGAGGGAGAGGCCACTGAAGATACTGTTTTCAGAGGCGGGGCAGGGGAGAGGGAGCAGACTGGGAACGATGCAGCCACCAGGAACTAGCAAGGGAGAGGAGCCATGGCTACCCCAAGCTTGAAGGAGACGGGGAGAGGTACCCCAGAACTGAAGAGCTAGGAGGGGCTCCAGCTGGTGCCGTGGCCAGAAAAGGAAGACAAAGGCCTGGGAGCCACTGCATGCCAGAGAGGGAGCGGAGGAGGAGAGGGATTGTGTCGATCGCCTGCCGCTCCCTGCCCTGCAACCTCACAGCAGGGCGTCTGCTCATGAGAACAGCTCAAAGCGGAAACCAGTCTGCAGAGCGCTGCTTCCTGGAGCAACAGCAGGGTGGAGAGTGGATGGTGGGGAGACACAGAGCCATTCACCCCTGGATCTTGCCTGGCGCCTTTTCAATCACAGTATGCCCCGAAAACTCAGAGTGGCCAACTCCTCCTTGGTGACCCAGGCAGAGTGATGGGGAGGGCGTCGCTGACAGAGGTCTCTGGGCCTCCAGACCCAGGTTATGGGGTGGCCCCGCCAAGCCTAGCATCCCTCACTCTGCAGAGCTCAGAAACTTTAACAAAACTTCCACTCCTTTATTGATCTGAATATGCATTTGGCACCTACTATGTGCCAGGCATGGTCCTAGGTGCTGAGGGCGGAGCTGTGAGTAACACAAACCCAGCCTCTGCCCTGATGGAGCCGAACCTCCAGTGAGGAGAACCAGGCAACAAATAAGATGATTGCAGATTGTAGTCGGGATTATGAGGGAAGTAAAACAGGTTATTGAATACGGAGAGTGCCTCGGATAGGGGCACCACCTGAGACAGGCAGGCAGTGCAGCCTCTCTGAGGAAGTGACATTTGTGCCAAGACTTGACAGAGGAGAATAAGCCCATCATAAAAAACATGGGGAAAGAGTCTTCTGGGTGTAAGGAAGAGCAAGTGCAAAGGCCCCGGGGCAGGAACAAGCTGGACTTGTCCAAGCAGCAGACAGAGGCCGCTGGGGCTGGAGAGTAATTGAGAGGAATTAGGCGAAGCGGGCAGAGGCTGGATCACATGGGCCTGGTGGCACTCGTAGTGAGTTTACATTTTATTCCCTGAGCCACGAGAAACTAGGGGAGGGTCTGAGCAGGTGAGTGACGGAACTGGGACTAAGGTGAGATGAGTGCCTTGCACTCGACAACCTGGAGTGATCACCCTTCGATCTTGTACCCTTAGCACCTCATCGAGTGATATGATCTGATGTGAATTTTAGGAAATTCCCTGGGGAGAACAGAGTGGGGACAGGGGTGGGAGAAGCAGGGAGACCCCATAGGTGGCTGTTGCAGTCACCAGGAGACACGAAGCAGGCAGCACATCCCCCTCTGCGGAAGCTGGGGCCTTTGATGAGCTCCCTGAGCCCTCGCTTTGGGGTTGGGCTTCCCCATCTTCCTTCAAGGTCACAGGGAAGGTGACTCAGCCAAACTCTAACGAGTATGGTTTCCTCTCCACACATCTATTCGCTCGCACTCTCTTCCTTTCTCTCCTCTTAAATAAATGAGACCAAAAGTCTACGTCTGGACAGGACTCGAAGGCTCATTTCCTCAGGAAGTAGAAAAATGACCGCAGAAAGCAAAGAGCAGAGCAAGAGCCGAGACCTGCCTGAGCCCAGATTCGCCCCCCCACGCCCCTCCCCCACCACTTGTGACCTGACCTGATCTGGGATTGCGGTGGGACTGAGGGATGACTGAGGTCACAGCGGAATGTGACAGTTCTTCTACCTCAGCTTTTTAGCCCTCAAGTGTCTCTAATGTCATTTTGTTTACTCTGCAACTTAAAACTTGTGTGAATAACTTGCCCAGCTCTGGGATCCGTTGTCGGCGAGGCTGCACACACATCCCCAGTGGTCTGAGTCCTTGTATTAGCCATCTCTCCCATTTTATTCATGGGAAAACTGAGGTTCCCCACTGGCTTATTGATGGGGAAGGAAGCAAAGCCGGTGAGTGAGGGAGCCGGGCCTGGGAATCCACCCTCAGTCACCCAGCCCAAAAGCAGATGCCATCCTGGCCTCTCTCTGGGTCACATGCTGTCTGGGAGCCGGACTGCATCTGCCTCACCTCTGCACCCCCCTAAGGTGCCAGCAGAGAAGAGAGAATCAGAAACATCCCTCAGAGCGGGCTTCTTCCCTTTCTCTGGGGGCGATTTGTCTGTTGGAGTGGTTGGATGATTCAGTGACGGGCTGATTCTCTGACTTGGGACTTGATCTGCCACCAACACATCCACAGGCTCGCTGGTCCAGGGGAGAATTCTCTCTGCAGAAGTGGTCACAGAAGGCTTTCCTACCAGCTTATTATCTGAATGAACTGCAAATACTTTTCTTTGGCCGAGTTAGATATTTGCTCTGCTGTAACTGTCCCTGATGAGGGCAACTTTCAGTGTTCATGCCAGAGGCCATCACAGTAAACGTCGTGCAGGTCCAAACAGACAGGCAGCAGACAGGCAGCCTGTGCAAAGAAACTGACCTGATTCTTTTCCTCCTCCTTTAGATCTGTGAACAGAGAGAGAAGAGGGCAAAGAAACAGATCCACGAGACACAACCTCAGACTCCTGCCTCCAGCAAGAAGCAACAGATCAGCAAAAACATAAAATGGCACGCCCTGGCCTCCTGCTTTGCCTGCTCTCCGCAACTGTTCTCTCTCTGCTGGGTGGCAGTTCCGCGTTCCTGTCACACCACCGCCTAAAAGGCAGGTTTCAGAGGGACCGCAAAAACATCCGCCCCAACATCATCCTGGTGCTGACGGACGACCAGGACGTCGAGCTCGGTAAGCACTCCAGTGAGCGGGTGGCATCTACCCAGGGTCACCGGGCCCATCTACTGGGGCTAAGGCTCCTGATGCAAGATGCTTGCATCAACCTGTAGAATTTACCTCCGATGGATTTAACCAAGTCGCAGGGGTTGCCCCGCACCTGTGGATTTGCAGCCAGGTCAAAGTTAAGGGTCTCCAGCCTTTTCCTAGTGCAGAAAACCCTTTGAAGATTTCTCCAAAGTCTTAAGGAGAAGACACGATAAGACCAATTCATATTTTATCCAACTTCTGTTGAATACTTGCTATGTGCCAGGCAATATTCTAGGGCCTGGAACTTCCGTAATGAGTAAGAAAGGCACAGTGCCTAGTTTCATAGAGTGAGGGAGACGGATAATCGGCAGGATTGTAAATTCACATGTAACATAATTTCAGGAAGGGAGAAACGCTCCGATGAACCTGAGGAGGGTGATGTGCCTGATGGGGTGGTGGTCAGAGCTCCTCTGGACTGGAAATCAGGGAGAGGCTGCCAGAGGGGGTGATGTTTGAGCTGACACTGTGCATGCGTGTGAGCTTGTACACACATGCGTGGACCCCTGCTCCACCAATCTCAAAAGCTGTGGGTGGACTCGGCGCTCCTTGGTGACATCGGGAGCAGGAAGCCATCCCTATGGGCAGTGTCCTGACCCAGTTCACAAAGACGGTGCCTCAGGAGGATAAGCTCGGTGCCTGTGGTCCTGAGCTTCCTCCCCTCACATCACTATGTGCCCCAGGTAGAGCAGGTGAGATAGGCTCTTGCCAAGGTTTGGTTCATTTACACCGATGGCAGGCATGACAAGGGCTCCCGAATGCTACGTCCAAGGGATTGTGGCCTCCTCGCCTTCCTTTTATTACTCACACAAGCCACCCCTGGGCCACATCCGTGATTCACTGTGTATAAAGCATCCTGACTCCTCGTGCTCTCTAAGCAAGACCATGGGCCCCGCCCCCCAAGCTGTGAGTGTCTTCATTTGCATGATACAAGACCCCATAGATGCTGCCACCAAGAGCGAGGCCTCCAGAGTCAGTCTCGCTTGAACCTTCTGCTCTCCTGGCTCAGACTCCACTTATATTTCCAGCTCTCCTTTGGGGCTCTCTCTCAGTATAAACCTTTTTTCTCCTTATCTTGTGTCTTCTTCCCCTTGAATTTACTGATTTTAAGGGTTCCATTTCTCCACATTAAACCCGACACCAGCTCTACCCTATAATTCTGCCCTATAGAATTATACTGCCAGCCACAAATGCAAATGATACATGTAATTTAAAATTTTGTACTTGCTACATTTTTTAAAAAGTAAAAAGAAACTGGTGAAATTAATTTTAATAACATACTTTATTTAACCCAGTGTATCCAAATTATTATCTCAAAATGTAATCTATATGAAAATGATTAATGAGATGTTTACATGTTTAATATTGTTTTCAAAGTCTGTCAAGTTTACACCTAGAGCACTTATCAATTAGGACTAGCCACCTTTCAGATGCCCAGTAGCCATTTGCGGCTTATGGCCACCGTTCTGGATGGCACACGGGCCTTGTGCATTTTCTTCCTCCTGTGACTTAGATTTCTCTTCTCATCATCAACACCAACATGTATTGTGAAGATGTGGGGAAAAGCCTTCCTTCCAAGCAGGGAGAGTAGTATGTGCAAAGGCCCTGAGGCAGGACCAAAGAGATGGATGTGGCTGGAGCCTAGAAAGGCGTATAGGAAATGAGACTGGGGAGAGGGGGTGGAGCCAGATTTTGGAGGCTCTCCTGGGTTGTGGTAAGGAATGCCAGTAGTTGACCAGGGGAGGAGTCGGCCTTTAGCCTCTGCCCACTGTCAAAGGACAATGGAATATCACCGGTAGCAATAAATTTAAAGGCTTACTGGGTAAGCCTTTGCAACCCAATGTAAATTGTGATAAACTGCAAATCTATACACCCCTTTTGGATCCATTATTAAAAACATGAATCAGTCTTTTAACTGCCAAGAAAAGGTGATTGATATAAATCTAAGTCATTCCTTATAATGATTTGTATTAACGATCACAAGTATAGATTTTCTCAGGGACCTTTTCAGTGCAAAAAGAATTTGCAGCCAAAGCAATGAGAGCCCAGAGCTTTTGTACACATGATACCTATCTCCCTGGCACCGTTTAGCACAAGCCGTGTTTGATAACCATGGGGAGTCTACAGACCTCGGTCATAGGTGCATGAGTTTCATTTCTCGCAGAATTTTGCAAAGAGCACTTGCAGGCAGCACCTGGACCTGAGGGCACTTTGGTCTTGCCTTGTGGGGCCCCTTGAGCTATTTTGGTCATAGTCATGCCTGGGAATTCAAGACACCCCGGGCTTCCATTCATGCATTCAATTGAGATTTATTCAGCATCCACTCTCTGCAGTGTACTGTGCTGGGAACTGGAGGACTGAGGGAGGATCATTCTAAGGAGAACAGAAAAGGCAAAGATACTGAGTTAGAAATGAGCTTAGTGGGTTGGGACCGAAAGAATGCCTGCGAGGGGGAGTGGACAGAGCTGGGGTGTAAATAGAGACGGGACCAGGAGTTGACTGAGGTCAGGTCGTGTGGGGCCTTGTGGCCATGGTGTGGGTTCTGAGTTGTATTCTTAGTGAGGCGGACATGGATAGGAGGCCTTGAGCAGGCAGGGCCGTGACCTGCCTTAGGCTCCCACAGCATCCTTCTGACTGTTATGTTGAAATTAGATTTCAGAGAGCAGGAGCAGGGACAGGGACACCCATTAAGAGGCCAGCGCAGCAACTAGGCAAGTGACGATGGAAGCTGGGACCAAGGGAAAAACAGAAGGGCCGAGACAATGAGCAATGGGTTGGAGGGCGCAGTTAAGGAAAAGGGGAACATCCGGGGTGACTCCCAGATTTGGAGCCCGAACCAAGGCGAGTGAGTGAACTCGCATTCTTAGGAACAGCACATTTTTGCTGCAGTAACGTGATCTAACGAGGCCTCGTGTCAGAATCTGGTTGTAAGTTTGCATCTGTGACTCTCAAACCGACAGGATATGCAAATATAGGGAAAGGAGCTGCGGGTGTGATGAAGACAGAAGGGAAGAGCCAAGAAAATCATGGCTTACTCAGAGTACACAGATTCGTTCTCTTCATTGTATAGCTGGAGAGACTAAGGCACAGAGAAGTGAAGTGACTTGTCCAGAGTCACACAGCCGTAACGTGGCTAAACGAGATTTGAACCCAGCGCCCAAGGTCTTAACCACTGCTCTGCTCTACTCAGCCAGTCTCCTGGGATAGCTATTGAGTCGTTTCTAGACCGTTAGTGTGTGTGTTAGTTTTCACTGGTACAAATACCGTTGCCGGAAATGTCTTTGTACGTGCCTATTTGGACATCCAAGCAAGTGTTTCTGAAAGATAAATCCCAGGAAGTAGATATGGTAGGTGGTGGGTTTAGAGCCCTCATGCTCGCTTCTGCCACCCCCCACCCCCCACCCCACCCACAGCACTGACTTGCATAGCTCACCAGCCTTCCGCTCACCAGCCAGCCCATCCGACGGCAGAACAGGCTTTTGAAGGAGGCTGCCCTCTTTTCAGGAGGTGAAGGATGGGAATGTGGCAGTGGGTGGGGCGGGGGGTGGGGTGTGAGCTTTTTATAAACCACTAGACAGACCCAGATCAATAATGCATATTCCCAAAAAGGCCAGCACATTATCTCACAGTCTGCGACAACTGGCACACAGAGGGTGGTCCTAAAAAATTTATCATCTGCTATTTTCTGCTCATCCGTGCGGCAGTTCCGACAGTTCTTGGGGCTGGAGACTTCTCAACTAAGATGATTCCAGGCTTTCTTCCAGTCCCGGGGTGGAGAACAGCCGTCCATCCTAATTAGGGCCTGGTTGAGAGAACTGGTGTGGGACACAGCACAGAGGGGAGTCCCGCGGTCCTGTTTCCTAATTGCAAGGGCAGGGGGACTGTGTATCCATTTTCCCTTTCCATACACGCATGTGACACAGCTCCCTGATTTGTCACTCAGAAATGTCAAGCGCCCAAGGGAACTGGTCCCAGTGCACATCGGTCATTAAGTGGCCTCGATTATCAATATGTTTTCAAGGCCGTTGGGCAGGTCCTTGGGTTTGGATGACCCTTGGAGACCAGCACGGTCTTGGCCGGCCGTCTTTATCAAGCAGATGAGGGAGAAGCACACGGAAGCCCCAGTCTCGTTTGCATGTGTCCTTCAGTCAGTAGGCTCTGCCAGGGTTTACTGGCTTAATTCAATCTAGACAAACCCTTGGTGAGCCTCGGACGCTCGGACAGGCTCCGAGACACCAAAACGAGTTAGACACAGTCCTCGCCTGGAGCAAGAGAATATTTGCAGCATCCCAGTGCTGTCTGTTGCATTATTTGAAATTTTCTTTAACTGGACTTATTTTTTGAAGCTTAAGGAAGCTCTAAATTATGACTGTAAAGGAAAAACTAGTACCCATTGCCTTTGGTAAAGGTCACTGCCAAACCAAGTATGATGAGAACAGCGGTGTTTTTACATTTCAGCGAGATGCTGCCTCCCGTGAGGCTGGCATGTCTTTGTTACAAAGGGCGATGGGCAGTTTTGAGAGAGGTGTTAAAGGTCAGGTAGCACCTCCCTGAGACTTTCTTCTTGACCTTGCCAGCAGGATGTAGACTGGAAAAGGGAAGAGCTTTCTCAAGTGTGAGTCATGGGCATATAATGCGGGGGCCACAGTAGTATGGGAGCTACATGATGGTAACTCTTGTGTCTGAGGGTTAAGGAGACAGTCGAGCCCAGACCCCAGACGATCAGGCATTGATTCTCCACTGCTCATCTCTGAGGGTGCATGCCAGCTAGAAACAACGTGCCTTTAGAGGCCCCCCGAGATTGCTGGATTTCAAATGTGCCCCTCAAGACCGCATGACCTGTGAAAGATCCACGTTTTAAAAGAATGATTAGCCTTTCAGTACATCTTTAAATGAAAGTGCTCTCACTACAGAGGTAAGGATGAGAA